TTTTTTTTTTTTTTTTGAGGAAGAAGATGAAGAAGAAGAATAAAGAAAAAAAAAAAAAACATTCCCCAAATTTCGGAGGAAGAAGAAGGAAGAAAAAAAAAAAAAAAAGCAGAAAGTTGCAGTCGGAGGAAGAAGAAGAAGAAGGAAGAAGAAGAGAAGAAAAGAAAGAAAAAAAAAAAAAAAAAAACGTGGATGACACGTGGCGCCCACTCAGTGCGCCACGTCACAGTTAACGAAAAACTTAACAGTTTGACTAACGGATGTATGAGACTGTCCCAAAATTTACACTTTAGGTATGACTCTGAGACGAAAAAAACTTGATGTACTAAATGTTGAAAACCACGAAACATTAGGGTAGTAAACAGTCTTTTACCCTAAAAATAAAAAATAAATTTTTTTTTATATAAAATGGTGGGATCCACCTCTACAAATCCTTCCCTACCCTTCCCCCTCAACCTACCTCCACTCGCCTCCCCCAATTTGTTTCCCCCAACCTTCCTTCACCACCAAAACTAGTCTCCCCAACCTTCTTTCACCACCAAAACCAGAACCCACTTCCCTACCGCTGTCATCACTTGCGCCATCTGGATAGGAATGGTGAGGTCGAAGTCGAACAGGGCCGCCTTCTCGAACTCCTATGCCTGGGACTGTGGCGCCAAGGCTAGTGAGGTGGCGGCGATGGCAAAGAGGGAGGAGGAGAGGGATACCAATTAGAGCTTTGTGAGCTTTGGGAGGTTTGATGGGATTTTGGTTTTTGAGATTTGTAATGGGATTCTAGGTTTTGGGATTTTGGGGATGCAGGTTGCCTAGAGAGAGAGAGAGAGGAGAAAGAGAGAGAAGAGAGAGAGAGAGAGGGTGGGTGGTGGTGAAGGAAGGTTGGGGGGACGGGTGGGAAGGGTTTCTGGGTTTTGGGATTTTGGGGATGCAGTTTGCAGGCTGCCTAGAGAGAGAGAGAAGAGAAAGAGAGAGAGGAGAGAGAAAGGGTGGTTGAGGTAGGTTGAGGGGGACGGGTGTGGAAGGATTTCTAGATGTGGGTCCCACCATTTTGTATAAAAAATAATTTTATTTTTAATTTTTTAATATTTAATTATTAAAAATATATTTTATTATTTTTTAATCTAGTTGGATTAATGAATGGGTCCCTTCTCTAGCCACGTTAGCAATTAACAGAGAAATTAACAGAAAAAGGTCTAACATTGGAACAAATTCGTAAGATGAGGTATGACATTGTCATTTTTAAAAGATGAGGTATGATAGTGTCATTCGACCCATAATTGAAGTAGTTTTGTGTAATTTACCCAAATATAAATTTCATTTAAAAATAATAATTTAATTCGACTTTTTGGAGAGTTGGAAGAATTTGATTACTAAATTCAAGGGGAGGGAGGATGGAGATGAGCTGCTGTAGGGGGTGGTTTTTGGATATGGAGGTTATGGAAGTGTAGGAATGAAAGAATTTTAAATGGGGTATGTTGGCATATCCATCTTATGCTCTCATGCTTTGGAACCATAGCCTGGGTGAATATCGTGAAATGGAGATGCAAATAGAGGAAGAAGATGTGGGAGGGAAGGCAAAGAAAGCTGCTGATGCAGTGCAACTGGAAGGTATTTTGCATGGTATTTGGCACCCTGCAAGTGGTATGGAATCCGTGGGAGTTTGTGTTTTGTCATCGAGAAATCAACAGAATTGTTGCAGTTTTCATGCAATCTGTAGGAGGAATTTTTATTTAGAATTGTATTGATCCCAATTTTTTTTTTTTTTAATATTCTTGCTGGGATGTGAACTTTCTGTTCGTGGCTAGAATTTCCGTTGGGGATGTTTCCTAGCCGAAGAGCACACAGCTCCCCGAGAGGTTGGCGCCGATCGATGCTTTCTGTCGAGCTTTTGCTTCACTGGCGGGCTTGTCGGGCAAAGCTTGTCGGGCAAGGCTGAAAGAGAAAGACATAGTTAACTTTGAAATTTTAACTTTTAAGTGCTCAGGCGTGCCACTACCATCTTCAGCATGGCAGATGTAAAACGGATGTTGAGTTTTAGTTGTATATACCCGAGAGGTTGTTTTAGTTATGAAAGGTGCCTTGTGGGGCCTTAGGTGTAGGCCTTGAGGCTTCCAATCAGGAACTAACCTAGTACTCGAATATATAATGTTTGTTTCATTGATTACAGAAGTATTATGACTATTATACTTTTGATTACCCGAGCTTGAAGAGCAGAAAGAATCTAAATAGGTGCCTTTGTAGGGCCTTAGGTGTAGGCCTTGAGGCTTCCCATTAGAATTCCTTCTATGCTCAAACGTTCTACGATAATCATAATATAATGGAAATAACACTAAGGGATAGGTCGATTACTTGTGCCCCAAGTAACTTCGGACTTCTTGTTTATCAAAGACTATCGTGAATGGGTTAAGTCCACCTAAGATTCTTTTTTATGCCTTGAGACCAAGGATTTTTAAATGATCAATCTTACATGCCCAAGGGCTTATAACTTAGATATGATTTAATCTGTGAAGACATATTTAAATCGGATTCAAGAATTGAGAAGCCTTTTTAATCATCAACTTGCCAGAAATAACTTGGATACAACTGGAAGTATACAACATATTGCTAGACTACTGAATGAAAAGACAAAAACAAAGAGGGTTGGGCAAGGTTTCACCTTGTCGGGTAAAGCTGATCGTCTTGCAACTTCCTATCTTTGTGGTTTATCAAGGGGTTTGAGAGCTTAGAAAGAGGGGTAGGGAGATGAGTTTACAAAAGGAAATCGATACTACAACAAGTTTTAGACAAGGTAGCAGAGCTATTACAAAGGCTTTGGGTGAGGGTTGATCTCGAAAGGGATGAAAGCTTGGGTTGACTACAGCTTCGTTGAAAGAAAATCTGGTTTGAGCAGAGTTTGTGCTTGTATTTGTTTGTTTGATTGAGTGTCCTTATCTTTGATTTCTCTTTCTTCTTTTATAGACACTTCAGCTTGGCCTCATGTAGCAGTAATCTTGCCCGAATGCAACTTAAAGGGCAATGACTCATCAGCTTTTTACTTGTATTGCCACTGTAAAGTGCTTTTGGACTGATTAGCTGGCTGGTCTACACCACTTGACCCTCTAAGTAGGTGAGCAAGTGGTTCAAATGGTCTGCACCTAGTCAGAAAAGGGCCTCTCCTGCTTTCTGGGCTTTGGCTGGGCTTTAGGCTTTTCTCCTTTTGGACCTCTTTCTTTTGGACCAACTCCTTCTTGAGCCCAAAGTTCAAGTTTTAACCCAAACACTTTCAAATAGACGAAAAGCACTGCAATGGCGCGCACATATTTCCTTATCGTGTCTCTGTCATAGTTTATCAAATTATTATCCGCTAAGCGGCGGAATTACTGGATTTAAATATAATCAAAATTCTAATTAGATTATTTATTATAACTTCAATATAATAATATAAATATACTTACCCATTCTGGCTTGGTTTTGTGCAGCGGCTAGGAGTAGTAGGAGCTGCTTAACTTTTAACGGCTCTTTTAACGGCTCTTTATTTCTAGGAACCTTAACAAAAAGCACCCGGTACTGTTTATTTTAACGAAAAACCACATTTTTACACTAAAAAGTCAATCTTGGTACTATTCACTTTACCCTTTATTTTGTCCTTATCATTAAAACTCAAAATTTTCAAGCCCTTTTCATTAGTTTTCCTTTATTTCTATGTTGCTTTTTCTTTTTCTGCTTTTTGACTAAATATAAAACGATGAAGAGTCACGTATTAATGTAACCTCACTCCCACAAACTTTTTAAAATTTTAATTGGGGGAAATGGGCGTTGATTTGTTTGCAAAAGTTGATGATTTTTTTTGTTTAACATGCAAACGGATGTTAGATGAAGTTAACATTTTAACGGTTTTAAATTTGTCACACCAACGATTAAAATTAGACATATACTTATATTTGTTTGAGATGAGCTCTGGCTCATCCAAACTTCTAACGTTTAACCTTCTAGACGAAGACTTGTGTGACACACTTACACTAATAATGGGGCCATTGTATCGTGTGCCACCCACCCCAACATTAACCTCACTCAATGAGTCGACAAGATTATTAATAAAACGTCTTTATTAACTTTTTGTTTGATAGATATGTTAAAGTATTTTGTGAGGAATATGATAAGATACAAAAGAATTAAGGAAGTGAAATTCACACAACTTTTTTCTCTCTTTATACTGTCTTATTTATGTTTGGTCATTAGATTTAAAGAATCAAAAGATAATTAATGAACATAAATAAACAGAAATGTACAGAAAAAGAAAATGAGTGCGAAATCCATTTTCCTAGAATTTTATCTTACCAAACTACAATCATATATGATAAATTAGAAACTTATCAGTGTAGATTATCACACCACAAACTTAGTTTTTTAGAGCATTCATTTCTGCACTGAAATTTTAAATTCAATTATCTTTCAATCGATATTCAATACCAAGGTTCTAAAAGACGCTAGGCGCTAGTCGGACTAGGATGATTTAATTAAATCTATTATATTTCGTGTAGATAAATGTCTGTATATACTTAAAATATATATGATTTCATTATAAACTACAAAATAGAATGACATATATATTATGAGCTATTGGACCATAATGAAAATATGGAGAACAAGTATATAATGTTTGTTTCTTTAAGTATTCAACAAGTCACTTACAATTTATTGAAAAAATAAAATGTAAAATGAAAGTTATATATTTTCTGTCTAAGTAAGTCGCAAACTAGGAGGGTGTCTAGAAGGGTCTGGGCAGGCTAGGCGGGCGCCTCAGTAGGTCTAAACGCATTTTCTTACTTTTCAAACGCCTATGTATTAATCGGGACGGTGACCAACCGTCTTGCGCCTAAACGAAGATTTTTATAACAGTGCTCAATAAGTATAAACATAAGAACAAAATAAAAAAAAAAAAGAGACATTAGCCGAGCCACTTGACAAAAATGGAACGAAAGTGACATCTTTGTCCTAAAGTCGGAAAAAGAGAGAAAGAAAGAGAGAGGACTTCATTAAACAATACTCCAAATCTTCAAAAACCCTCAGGGACCTTTCACACACTCCCAGCGACACTCCCTCCTCCTGCTGTCTTTTCATCTCTGTCTCTCCCTCTCTCTCATTGTTGAAGAAGTTTGACAGGGAAAGAAACAATCTCTCTGTGTCTGCGAGTGTGGTTTTCACTGAGAAAAATGAGGGGTCCTATGGGGGCAGTGATAGGGAGGTACCCCCCAAGTGATGGGAGTGCCCAAATGAGTTCAATCATTAGGCACAATAGGAAATGCAGGGATCTTGTCTTCCTCGTAATCTTCATAGCCTTCTGGGTTGCCATGATTGTTAACTCCAGCTTTGGATTCAACCAAGGAAACCCTTCAAGGTAAGAAACTTAGCCATACCCTTTTCATTTTTTTTTTTTGGAAATTTTTTTGTTTTTTTGTTTTTGTGATTTTTAAGGTAAGAATCATCGGCTCTCGAATGGGTTCCTCTTTTAGCTCAGAAATACGAGGTATTGCAAAATGGGTATTTATTTTTGTGGGATTGTCTCCATGTACACACTGTTACTTATCTGTTGGAATAAAATGAGACCAGAAATTGCTTTATTATTTGGGTTTGGTCCCCAATTGTCTATTTTTTTTTATTTTTTATGTTTAATGCACCAAGGAACTACCTTAAACATATGATGGTGTTTGGTGGTTGTGAGTTTTTAGCAACGTTGGTATTTTTCTCAATTGGGTTTGTTCTTAGCAATACCATCTTTGTTGGGTTTTCAGTTTCCCTCTGTTTTCCCTTTTCTAGTGAACTTTTGCTGCTGGAGGGAATTTTGGCAAGAAGCTGAACATGAAAGATTGAGTTTGTGTAATTTGTGATTTGTTTGTAGAAAAACTAGATGTCAATGTCATTCATTTTTTCGAAAGCGGAAATGCTAATTTAGTTTTGGTTCATTTTCTTCTGGCAGTTTTCCTTCTTTATGTTTAGATAAACATTATCGCATCTTACTTGGGTTGGTCTTTCTTGTTGGATTTCGTTTAAGTGCAGTATTTTCGTTTATATTTGGCTACATTGTATGTTTCCTATATGTTTGCTCCTTTTGCTACACTGAGGTTACTTTTCATTTTTGCATAGTTGCATTCTCTTTAGTTTTCCATTTCCTAGCAACACAAGGCATGTTATAAAGGTTTCATCATTGTCATTAATAGTGTTGTGGTTTATCAGGCTCACTTATGGACTGGACTACAAAGGAAATGTTTGTGGTGACAAGCATGCAAAACCTGGTCTTAAGGAACTGGAACTCAAATATTGGTTAAATCCTAACCAGGTTTACCTTAGTGGTTTAAAAGACAATCAATTCAAGTTGGCCAATGCTCGGAGTATATGCTTATTGGATTGCCCTATCCCTTATGAAGATTCACTAAGTTGGGTGTGTGATTATCCTGATGGAGATATCCGTCTCTCAATGGATGATTGGATCGACAGGAATTATGATTATTATGAGTTCCTTACACCAGAATTGAGAAACACCTCTCTTCAACTTCAGGGTCCTTGTTACCCTGTCATATTTCCCAGTATAAATGGTAAATGAACTCACTTCCGTTAGGAATTATTAAACTTTATCATGTATTGTATTTATTGCTTGCATATGTGATGTTTGTTGTGTACAATGTACATGTGTTTACCAGTGGGAGAAAACTTTTGACATACAATGACGACCTGGAGTCCCTATATGATTTCATTACCTGTATCTTTTATTCTTTCATCGTAACATTACTGCAAATTCTTCCGTGTACAGTTTATTGGACTTGCCAATTTATTGCTCGTCCCTCCAACGTATCTTTGACGCATTGGCAGCAAATGGGTGGAGTGAAAATCAATGAGGACATTATTATAGACAAATCTATTCACAAGGCCATCAATTCTCGGTCATCCGTCTTTAAGGTCAGGCAACATTCGTTACTACTTTTACTTCTTTCTAATGAGGATAGTTCCTAAATTCTGTGAAAATGTATAAAGTTTTCTGCATTCGACTTTGTTTGCAATTGGCATACCAAATTAAAAAAAAACATAATTCGTGGCTAAAATTAGTTTTTGATATACCATGTTGCATTTTCATTTATAAAATTAATTTAGTAGTTTGGCTATTAGTGCTATTTTTGGTAGTTATCGCGAAAGAGCTATCTTCATTGACAGTACCTAGTACATTTACTGTTTTCATATTCTATAGCTCTAAAAGTTCATTGTTGACAGAGATACATGGCTGATATTGGAAAGGCATGGCCGGTGCTGATTGTTTGTGGAGGAATATTGCCACTTTTTCTGTCAGTGATTTGGCTGCTTCTGATTCGTCATTTTGTTGCTGCAATGCCTTGGATTACAGTCGGTCTCTTTAACATTCTCATGATAGCAGTCACAATGTTCTTTTACTTAAAAGGTCGAGAGCTATCTCTCACTGTGCTTTATCCTCTTATTTGGTAAACCATGCTGTAGGGTTTAAAGTCGCAGGGACCTTGAGTCCTGCCTTCCTCACCCCTTCTCCCAGTTAGATCTTATTCATGATTAGCTATCCATATTCATGTTGTTAGTTTGTTATTACAGATTTTGACGGTTCTTATTTACGAAAAAGGTAGAGGGGAAGGGAAATTAGTATAGCTATGGTCATCAAACAGATTTTGTTGTGAACATGGGAAAGAATGTCTAGGACTGTGTTTTGTCAGTGTTAATAACTTTGTTCTCCATAATTTGGTATCTAAAAAGTCTTTTCTGAGTTTTCATACAAGTGCATCTTTTTGTTTCCTCTTACTCAGCATTGTTGGGTCCTTCTGTTTCATCATTTACACTGATACTTGTTCGAACTCAAGCATATTGCTTCACATAGTCTAGTTGTCTACTTGTTTAGTTGAGTTTTATGCTTGTATGCGTGGATAATATTCAACAAAATACAATGATGAATTTTATTTTTCTTGCTTGGTTTTAGCTGGATGGATAGGAAATGATAGCATCACCCCAATCATTGGTGAGCACGATCCATACATTCACATAATTGGAAGGGTGTGTACCTTCATTAACTGAGCACTCCTAAACCTGGAAGCTGTCTTTATGTATCTTCAACTAACTCAATGGTTTCAATCTTTCAGGAATTACATCATCTCCATGCTGTTGCTGTTATTATGACCTCTATTATGGTTGTTTCTATCCTTACATCAATTGCTATAGTCCGCCGCATCCTTATGGCAACGTCTGTCCTCAAGGCAAGTCATGTCCAATTAATCATTTGAAATCATATGAACATATATATGGTGAAAAGTTGATGATACTCAAAGTCGTAGAGGCCTTTTCATTTGAAAACTGTTATGGTTTCTCTGATTTGAAAACTAAATACTCCAATTGGGTGGAGCTGCTCCAAGACGTTGTAGGTCATATATTTAAAGTAAAAGTCTGATGCAGGATATTATGGGTATTAGCCCTTAAATTAGTTTAGACTGCTGTTTCCCTCTGAATTTTTAGTTTTATGTTAAGAATAGTTTTATGTTAAGAAGAAACATACAAAATGAAAGCAACATTATACAATGAATAATCAGCAACCTATATATACATTTAGACATTGATTAGGCATAAGATTTTTCTCATGGGTTGTGCTGCAAATCCACACTTGGAGTTGCATAAAGGTACTAAAACTGGAAGCCCAAAGAATTTTCCACAAATCCATATTTATCTTTTGATGTCTTAACTTGTTCAAGTTGTCAAATAAAGAAAAGTTATGACGGTCAGGAATTTGTATAAAGCAGGACTAAGAGTAGCTAGTGTGCATCAGAGGTTCTGTTGAGCCTTGTTTCCCATATTACAAAAATACTTTATTAATTTCTGGAAGAATGCTGATTATTTAAGAAAGTGAAGTAATTACGTATCATTTGTGCATATATTATTACCAAACTTTCACCGAAGCAAGTGCTGGTGTCGCCAGGAGCACACCCAACATGTGCACCCTTCCACATCTGGGAATACCAGCACTCACAACTTTGTTTAACATAATACCGAATAGTCTTCTTCATCAGAAGTTTTTACTTAACTTTAATGGCTTTACACATTAATCTGTATGCAGGTTGCTGCAAAGGTCATAGGAGAAGCTCAGGCGCTCATAATATTCCCAGTCATTCCATATACCATCCTTGCAATTTTCTACATGTTCTGGTTTTCAGCTGCTTTCCATCTGTTCAGTTCTGGTCAGGTTGTCCAGAATGACTGCAATTTGAACTGCTGTGCTTATGATCTTGTGTCAAAACGAGTGAACTGTGATCGTTGTTGCGGTTATAGCATTCATTACACTCCTCATATTGGAGTTGCCATCCTTTTCCACCTATTTGGAGGTTATTGGGCTACCCAGTTTTTCATAGCATGCTCTTCCACAGTTATTGCGGGTGCTGTTGCTTCTTATTATTGGGCTCGTGGTGAAACTTCAGTAAGTTACTAAGCTGTATGCATAGGTTACCACAAAGTTGCTTGTAGGTCTCTGTTATAGGTCTGGATTTCATCATTGTATTTGGATTGCAAGAATGAACAATATAGGTATATAAACATGAGACTTGGTGTTGAAGGCTAGGTTGATATTATAGCATCAAATAGTTTAGTAATATTCTTATTTCATGAAACATAAGGTTCCGTCGTTAGGCGACATGCGTGTCTATGTCTGCATGTGCCTATACATTGAATTTATGTTCGGGAACTGTCACCCCAAACATAGGTAATATCTGCTGGAGTGAATATTTTGGGTCTTGTTTAGTAACTTCCAAATCAAGTTACCCAAGATTTTCTTTCTGAGGACTAGTTTTTATTTCAGTGTGCTAGTTTTTTTATCTTCAGTTTCTCATTATCTTCTTCAATGCAGCCAGAAATTCCATTTCTTCCAGTCTTTGCCTCCATGAAACGCCTTGCACGCTATAACCTTGGGTCGGTTGCTCTCGGCTCCCTGATTGTGTCATTTGTGGAATCAATCCGCTTTATGCTTGAGTCAATTCGTCGCAGACTAAAAGTGGCTGGAACCACACCCGATAACTGGTTTGGAAAGGCTGTGTACCATGCTTCTAGATTTTTCCTGAGGTGTATTGAGTGGACAATCAAATCAGTCAATCGCAATGCCTACATTATGGTAATTTGACATAACTAGTATCCTTCATATTTTCATATATAGAGTTAATCATGTTTTTGTTCATATTCATTCATCCTAATATGGCGACTGCATGGAAGAGGAGCTTATTTGTTGGCTCGAGGAGATTGTCAAATTCCTCGACCGGTTTCCTGTTTGACCAAGATGCTAGAAGCGGTGCCTATGTAACTACTTGGGACATTTATTCCTGAAGATTTTTTTCATGATTGGATAATGTATCCCCAACATTGTTCTCAAGTCTGAAGCTTGTTTTGAGTACACAATGTCCGGGTTGTAGTGTGTTGTTTAACATAACTGAGTCTTGGCAACACGTAGTCAGAAAGGGTAAAAAATGAAGTAAAAAATCTGAGCAGCTTGAAAGAATAAAGTAGCGAGAAGGCACATGAAAGCTACCAAGTAGACTTCACTCATTTTATTGTAACCTACAGGCTATAGTGCTACATTAGTGCTAAACACTAATGTAGTCCTTTACTTTCCTCTTTTTATGTGTTTATTTATTAGTTTTTGGTTCTCAAATCCCGGTGGCTGAGTTTGAACACCTTTTATTCTATATGGTTTGCTCATCTGATTTGTTTCTTGAAAATATGCTTGTTACTGTTGCAGATTGCTATAACGGGTAAAGCTTCTGCAAGGCTTCTGCAATCGCAACAGATTTGATCATTAGTAACATTCTTCGGATAGGGAAGGTGAATGTGATTGGTGATGTCATCCTATTCCTTGGAAAATTATGTGTCAGCCTCTCAACTGCCCTTTTTGCTTTCCTTATGTTGGATACCCACAAATACAAATCTGGCCACAACAAGATCACTTCTCCACTGTTTCCTGTGTTGGTATGTTTATGATCTAAGATAGTGCGTTTTGTGACAATTTTTCATTATCTGATGAAACTACTGAAATGAAAATTGGCTAGAGCAGGGAAGTGGATAAACAAACCTCTTTCGCCGATGAAGCTTTCCTTGTATTATTCCCATAGTCTATGTTGAATGGCATGAACTCACTATGGTCGGGTAGAGTATGTTCCGTCATTAATCTGCTCTTATATGTTTGTGCAGGTTTGCTGGGCTCTCGGCTATGTGGTTGCCACTCTTTTCTTTGCTGTGGTGGAGATGTCAATCGATACCATCATTCTTTCATTCTGCCAGGATTCCGAAGAGCACCAAGGGACTGCCCAGTATGCTCCACCACTTCTGATCCAAACTCTAGACGACCAAAACGAGATGCAGAGACTCACCCAAGGACCCCAATCAGATAGCTTAGACGTATAATTTTACTTTCGCAATCTTTGCTTGATGGAATTTGAGAATCCCCTTGTAAGGTGATAAAGCCTGCCACCCAGTACTTATCCTAGTCCTTGAATTTTTGTGTTCCGTCTGTATATATTCAAGTGTTAGGCGAAACCGAGGGGGAAAACGGGTGCCTCTATACAAGTTTAGAATATCCGTCGCTGTAATTGAGATACATTTGAAAGAAATTAGAGTAATCAGAGTAATTATGCAATGCTACAAATCTCGCATGAAATTATTGAAACTGTCTTGCATCCTTGCGAAGTTTTTCTTCCACCATTGCGAAGTTTTGTCCACCGCAAATCCAGGACCTCCTCGAGAGGGAAATACATAAGAGTAAATTGTAGGAATGGTTCATTAACTTTTATCAAATTTGAGTAATGGTCTCTCAACTAAAAATTCACTACCATTAGTTCTTCAACTTATCAAAACGTGTAGCTATGGTGTTTTTCGTTAACTCTATCATAATTCTGTCAAAATGGGTTAAAGTTGAGGGATCATTGCTCCAATTGGGTTAATGTTGAGAGACCATTTTTACAATTAATGAAAGTCGAAGACCATTGATACAATTGTTTTTATTTGATTTTTCATATTTGCCTCTTGATTTAGTCTTACGTGCATGACACGTAACTCATTTTGATGGAAGTTCTATTGAAGTTGACGAAAATGATCATAGCTGCACGTTTTGATGTATTAAGGAACCAATGGTAATGAATTTTTAGTTGAGGGACCATTGCTCCAATGCTACAATTTACTCTAAGTACATAAATTGTTCTTTGTTGCCTTCAAAACTCCTTCGAAAAACCTCCCCGGATTGAAGGTACATCACTTGGGCAATTACACTTCAGTAACTGTAGGGACCTTCACATATTCAGACAACGATCTCAATTTTTGAGGAAGAATGAAACGGCCGCCGAACTTCTGCTGCAAGGGCAATATAATCCTTACTTAAAAGGCCATCCTATCCAACTTTCAGGCATTAAGATACTTGGATGATTATCATAAAGGATTCCCAGCATATATTAGGATTCCCTTTCTTGAAAATTCGCACTTTTCCAAACCTAGAAAACAGACGGAATTCTAGGATTCCTCAGGGCAAATACTTTTTATGCATACCCCTTTCCAGTTGATCTATACCATACTCTATTCTCGCAAGATGATAGACACTAGCTAACAGTCCGCTTAGTGCTACAATCATAAGCACATTAGGAACGTAGATAAGTGTAACCATGTACATATAAAAATGACAGCAATCGAATGCCAAACCTCGGGTTTTATTTGTAAAAGTTTCTATTCCCTGGTAATCAAAGCCCAAAGATCCATCAACTAACCCATGTTGCCGGCAAGCAGTAGACCTCCAAAAGGTACAATGACATCCCAAGCAAAGTATATTAGGCCTAAGTGAATTGAACTTTGTAGGAAGCAATCTGTTGTGGGACTTGCATAAATGTAAGACTCATTCAATTGCTGGCGAGAATGGCGGTGACTTCGAGCCCTGTAAAGATCGTACGCATGCGGCAGCACTCGAATGGAAGTTGTTCCAATGTAGCATGAAACTGACAGAGCCTTTTGGTTGGAATTGCAGAAAGTGTTGAGAGGAATTTGAGGCAGCAAAACACCATCCGAAACCAAACAAGCATATGATTTCAAGGCAGGCAAGATTTTGATGATCTGAAAGTATTGACAACATCGTTTTCAGTGGCACAGTGCCAAAAGTGCTCCAATCCATCAGTAGTGAAGCAGCTAAAGCCCCTGCAGTGTATATACAAGTAAAACCACAACAAACGCCTTCTTCTCATTGACCGGGGAACAATTGAATCGCAATGATCAGAATACGAGATGTGATCATAAGGTGGAGAACGCGATGAAACTGGATAAGAGAAGTGATTAGAAGTGGTGGATATAAAGAAAAGGCGCCAAAAATAAACAAAAACATGAGAAGCTTTGGCAATGAGTACCACATCTTTAAAGAGGTGGTAGCAGAAGACAGGTGTTTTCCTCATGACCATTGGGACAAAGATAAACAAGAACAACGAAATGAAATTCAATGTGAAAGTACTGCAATGTTTCGATTGTTTTGTGTACTTTCCATAGTCTGCAAAATACGGATTATATAACGACTTTAATATTTAGGTATCGAATTCAACATGTCTGTCTATGTACAAGTAGAAAAAATATTACTTCACAGTAGTGCTCAACCTCAGTAATGTCACTCGTCTGTAATAATTGTCACGTGTTTGAAAAGTGAACCATCCGTCTAATTGTGACAAAAAAGGATATATCAAATTCGTACATTGTCGTGACAATTTCAAAGAGAAAAAGGAGCTTATGACTTTGTTTTCATAGACAGCTAGAACAAACAAAACCCAGGACTGTGAAACCAAAGCTGCATTTTATTGTTCGTAAATACTAAATACCTAAGAGGACAAAAAAAACTGGAACAAAGGAATGGAAAACCAAGTTTGTTCTAGGGCCTGTTTGATAACCATTTTGTTTTTAATTTTTAACTTTCAATTTAATGTTAGAGGTGGAGGGGAAATACATGGGACAAGGGATATAGAACGATGACAGAATGATAATAGGATAGATGTAGAAAAACGAATAAGAAAAGACACACAAAGTGGAAATAAAAAAGGCGAAAACTATTTTAAGTTGTTTTCACTTTCAAGATTTTATTTTTATTCATTCATTTTTATTTATTTCCTTCTCTCGCACCACCGTCTCGTTTTCTCCGTATACTTCTCTACGTTTTCTTATATTGAAAACTATAAACGAAAAATGAAAATGGTTATCAAATCAGCCTTTAGAATATTGCTTTGTCAAAAAAGGCTAGATACCAATTATATTAGGCCTAAGCGAATTGAACTTTGTAGGAAGCAATCTGAGGGGTGAGGACGCGTGCCCATGTCAATGAAACTAGAGCCTTTGGCAATGCTCGGAGGGTTCTGAGTAAAAAGGGTTGCACTGAGGCGGAGACGAACACAAAGAGCTCGGTGCAGGAAGAAAGTTCTCAGCCAGTGAAGTTACAAGCTCCTTTAGTCAATCTCTCTGGTTACGGACAGTTTTGATGATTATTTAGAGGAACTTTTGTGTAGTCTAAAATTGCATCAAATCTGCATATGTAGGTTTTAGATCAGTTGGTTTGAATCTCTTCCCCATTAACTAGAGTATATTAGAATACCGCTTTGTAAAAGAAAAATAAAGTGACAAAAAATGAACATTATTTAGAAAGGATGCCAAAAACTCTGGAATGCTGCTGGTTCTGCAACTATTCTGCAGATGTCTCACATCCAAAATTTATTCTAAGAACCTCTAAACTTGCGCTTCTCTCTTTCTCCATGTCTTTCACATTTTTCTCGCTTAGTTTTGTTTTTGTTTTCTTATCGAAATCTCTAGAATGTGTGCAGAAACACAGTTGAACAAGACATGAGTACTAAGTTTCATGGTATCCTCGAGACCTATGTGCATTAACCTTGTGACAGACCGACCTCATTCTCGTGACAGAAGCAAATATTGTTTGTTATCTTATAGAAAAGAAAAATGGAAGTGCGCACATTATAGCTAACAAGTTCAACACATTACAAACGAAAAGAAAGATAAAAATAAAAAAGCTAAAACTTGATACCTCCTCAAGTACAAAGGAGAGAAGATTAAATTACCCTTCAGTAACAGTAGGGACCTTCTCATATTCACCCAACTCTATCAACTTTTGAGGGAGAATGCAACGACCCCCAAACTTCTGCTGCAAGAAAACGACGCCAGCAAACACTAAACCCCCAAAAGGAATTATGACATCCCAAGAAGTGGAGTAAAAATCTGCTGCAGGGCTTGCATACAGGTACGACTCGTTGAATTGACGGTGAGCAAATTTGTGAGCCCTGTAAAGATCGTATGCATGTGGCACCACTCGAACAAAAGTTGTTCCAACATAGAACGAAATGGATAGAGCATTTTCTTTTGATTTGCAAAACATGTTGAGCACAACTTGAGGCAGCAAAAAACCATCCAATACCAAACCGGCATAAGATTTGAAGCCAATGCTGAAAATTGAGTGATCAGCGTAGTAGCTCTTTTTCCAAATCTGTTCATGCAGAAGCCAAGCAGCGAAAGCCCCTGCAACATATAGTAGTAAGGCCACAAAGAGAGTCTTCTTCTCCATGAGCCAGAGTTCGTCGCGATTTCCATGTGCTGATCTTGCTGACCAAGTTAGCTGCAGAAGACGGATTTGCAGCAAGAAAGCTACCATTGTTATCACCCTCACAACTACCTCATTAACTTCAAGCCATCCTCCGGTTCCAAGGAACACGTTTTGTGGTTGGTGCTACTCGTGAACATGGCTTTGAAGTTTAACATAAGGGGTATCATGTAGCCAAGAGTTAGAATTAGTAGCATGAAAATGGAAATGGAGGGAAGAACATCTGGATACTTTTTCACATGGAAGAGTTGTCGCACCACAAAGAAGCATGCCAGCGTGGTGGATATAAGAACCAATATGATCTCCACATCCATCCTCCAAATGGACCGCCTTTCTTCAGCGAGGGTAAAGGAAGCTGAGGTTAAATCCCAAGTTTCAAAATAAAGAGGGTCAGACTTTTTTCGCGTGCTTTTTATGCTGCCCTTGATGAAACCCGAATTGTTGGTTGGATTTGTTGGGGGGAACTCAAAATTGACAGCAATCCCGCAATCTACAGAATCATTTGTTGGCTGCTGACCCTTTGAGGCCAGGTTTCTGCAGCCTACCATGCACAGGCTGCCTTCGGTTTCATCATAGATCCCTTCAGCAAAGATCTGCATTTCGTTTAAAACTGATGCATTTTGAAACTTTGCATGAGATAGCAGGTGGATGCTTATTTTGTAGCTAATATTGTACGGATTGCTGTGGTTGAAGCTGTATCTCACAGGAGAGCTCTCAGGAGCTGTAGATTCAGATTCGGTGGTTGCAATCACACCTTGCATCGAATACCAATACGCCTGATAAAATTGATTCCCAACAGAAATCGGAACAGAACTTCCCCACACAGCTTGTCTTTTAGAATTCTTAGCTGACACATCAAATCTCATGTCATAAGAAAACGGATTCGGGTACACGTTGATCTTGGGATGAGAAGTCTTCTTTTTTGGGCACAAATTACTTACTTGTTTGGTTTTGGTGTACTCATACTTCACACCAGGAATCAGAACCCTTCCAATGTCATCCTGAGGACTTTGGAACGTGATCTTTTCAAAGTAACCCGACTCTGTCACATTTTTGTTGCTCCAAATCTCCCCCACAATGCTACTTGTGTTTCCGATTGTCCATACTGCAGAAAACCGCAAGTTAATTCTTGTTGAACAATCACCGACACGAGTATTGTTCCAAGAACCTGCTGCATCCAAGAATCGACACGCAACACAAGACAGCTGATTTTTTTCTGCATCCCATGAGCCTTCTCCAATCAATGTTGTATTGGGATCGAATAGCCTTCGATACCAGATGTTGCTGCTGTCTACAAATTCGACCAGAACTCTCAACCTTTTCGCATCATTCCGACACCCGATAAGCTTCAACGAAACAACACGAGCCAAATCAGACGTGGCCAAAGGAGTGCAGTTCTTGGCAGAAGAGCAAAAGCTTGAGTATTTGAGATCAAATCCATGATTTCGCACTTCTCTTGAGAGTACAGAACAAAATCTCTTTATATTCAAGGAACTTGTGGGATTGGAATTATCACTTCCACCGGAAGTATTTCTGTTTTCAGAACTATTTGAAATCAGAGTGTACTGGTAGTTCATACCGGGAAGCATCAAAATAGAGATAGGTTCAAAATAATCTGGATCATTCTTGGAACTGATCATGTTCTCCAAAGTTCCGCTACTCAAACTCGTGACACTAGTGGAATTCATGAAGTTGTAGAGCTTAAAAATAGGATGAATGTTGAGCGAATAACTTCGTCCTTTTGAGTAACCATAACCGGAACCAACCATACAAATCTTCCCGGAAGATTGTAACCAGAACCCTTCAAGTTTAAGTATTAATCTTCTTGGACGAGGAACTGATCCAGATGAGAAACTGTTACTTGTGGTGGAAGAATTCCCCACAAAGTAATGTGTATCACCTGGAAACAATAAAGTCCCTCGAATCTTGATCAGGCCTGGAACATCCGTTTCTCTAGTCTTCAAGATAAAGAATTGAACAGATTTTTCACTATGATTAGACGATGAGATAGGACTAAGAAGGCCACCGCCACCGGTGTAGTAACCCGTGAGGAGGTGTTGGTAGGGCGGTCCTAGCGCAAAACCTTTCGGTAAAGACTGGGGAACAAATGAAGCACAGTGATCAGCGTAAGTGGTTTGGAAATCGTATTTAGAGGAAGCTGCAGAAGAGATGGTGAAGAAAAGAAAGACGAACATAAGAAGATTGGGTAAAAAGATGATCATGGAGATGGCCATGGATTCTTTGGTCATGGACTAGATAAGTGGATTTGGAGAAAGATGAACAAGGAGAGGATATTTTTATGCAGTACTAGTAGTACCAGGTCAACCATTAGCATTGGGATAGTCCTCAAGCGGTCCTACTGCTATGTAAGGAAGGACACTGAAGCCTGCAATCTGCATTGGAGTTGGCTTTAGTTGAATGTCCCATTTTCTTATTGAACAGTTCAAATAGTTTGATAGTTAAGTTGAAAAAATAAACAATATAATCAATTTTTAATGGAAAAAATTTGGAATTAGAAGAAATAAAAGATATTGTTGATGCTGTAAACTTGACCATTTCCACCCTTGCACATCTCCACTTGGTGTATAATATTCAAAAGTTGAATTGCGAGCTTCAGATATATCGTTTTATGATATTAAAAAATGTTGTCACAGACGCGTTTGCTAGTGTGGGTCAGTTTTCTTTTTTTTAAGTATGGTTGGTGAGAAACTTTTCCTACTGAGGCAAGATTAACTGGCTTATGGATTTATGTAATTTCAGTTGCCCAAAGGTCTTCTCTTTGTAATTTTTTTCTACAAAAATGTCAAGAAGAAAGTTGAGGTATCACCTTAATCCCGAAAACCATTTAGAAAAAAAAACCCTAATCCGAAAAAACTTAAACAAAGTGATGAAGAAATGAGTAACAAAAAGTATCTAAGACTGAATAAAAATAAATCTACATATGACCATTGTAATGGCATATGAAAGGAATTTACATATGATTATTTGGAAGGTGTCATTTACAAATTCTTTTCGCATATCTTTGTACGCTCATGTGGTGCATTGCTAATTCCTCTTATTTAATTTTTTGTGATCTATTTTATTCACCATTAATTATCTCAAAATCGCTTTGGAATTTAAAATTTTTTCATCTATACGTACCCATAACGTTCCGACTCGTATCCGCCTCATGCAATTGGTTGTAAACATACTAGTAGACGAAAAAATTGTCATAAAGCAACTACATCATCAATTTGACGGAGTATTATACTGTCAAGAAGATGAAAGACATTAAGATAAAAACAAAAATGAAAAACAGATTAAAGACAGATTGATTTGATTCCAAAAATCCATGATGCAATTTGTAAAAATTAACCCTACGGCCCATTTTAAAAAATTACCTAAAACGTAAAGTGTAAAATGGAGTTAACCCTTGTTAATTTTATACACATCATGTTTTTATTTTTATTTTTATAAACTGATAAAACACTGCAAGGGGCTCGAGAGTTAAAAAGCATTTATCCTTCACTAGATGGCTTGTAGTGTAGCTCAAATGATTAAAAACAATATTCTCGGCTCGAGGGCGTGTAGTTCAAAGAGTTAAGAACATTGATTCTACACCCGAGATCCTAGGTTCAATTTCCCCCAACCCTCGAATAGTAACTACAGCAACTATTCTGCAGATATCTAACATTCAAAATTTATTCCAAGCATTAAAACTCAGGTATTCGACAAATCGAAAAAAGAAATAAAGAAATAAAAAGCAAAACCATACAACTTTTCTTTCTTTTCTGAACTCCTCCTACATGCTTAAAAATCCAAAACAAAGAACATTGCAGCTGATAGTTGAATGTCCAATCCTCTCTAAAGTTTGCATTCACTGTAACAGAATCCTCCTCCGATAACGGAGGGCTACACCAGGTCCCTTTGCTCATTACCCTTCAGTTTCGGCGACAGTCGGAACCTTCTCATATGCAATAAAATCTCTCAACTTTGGAGGAAGAACGCAAAGACCCCCAAACTTCTGCTGCAAGAAAATGATGCCAGCAAACAGCAGACCTCCGAACGGAATAAGGACATCCCAAGCAGTGGAGTAAAAGTCTACAGCAGAACTTGCATAAATGTGCGAATGATTCCATTGGCGAAGAGCGGAGTTGTGAGCCCTGTACAGATCATATGCATGCGGCAGACCTCGAACAAAAGTTGTTCCGATGTAGAACCAAACAGACAGAACCTTTTCCTTCGATTCACAGAACATGTTGAGCAGTATCTGAGGTAGCAGAAAACCATCCATCACTAAACCGGCATAAGACTTCAAGGCAGCACCCAAAATTGAATGGTCTGGATAGGAAGTTGCGGCGCCAATTTTGTGGCTTTTGGTCCATTTCTGTCTATGCAGAAGGAAAGCAGCTAAAGCCCCTGCAGCATATACAGGTAAAACCACAAAGAGAGACTTCCTTTCCTTTAGCCAGAGCTCCTTTCGGGTTTCATTTTGTGATCTTTCTGCCAATGTTAGCTGCAGAAGACGGATTTGCAACAAAAAAGCTACCATTGTTACTGCTCTTACAATTTCCCCGTTAACTTCAAGCCATCCACCGCCTCCAAGGAGCACATGTTGAACGTTGGTGTTATTCACGAACATGGCTTTCAAGTTTAGCATTAGAGGTATCATGTAGCCCAGACTTAGAATTAGTAGCATGAAAGTGGAAATGGAGGGAAGCACGTCGGGATGTTTTTTCACATGGAAGAGTTGTAATGCCACAAATACACATGCAAGTGTGGTAGATATCAAAACCAAGGTAATCTCTGCATCCATCCTCCAAATGGATCGCTCTGCTACAACTACAGTAATAGAATCTGAAGACAAACCCCAACTTCCAAAATGAAGAGGATCGGACTCTTTCCGTGTGCTTTCAATGCTGCCCTTGATAACATCTGCATTCTTTTTGTTTGTTGGAGGGAACTGAAATTTGACAAGAATCTCACAATCTACAGAATCATCTGCTTCTTGTTGACTGTCTGGGCCCAGATTTCTGCATCCTACCATACACAGGCATCCATCAGTAGGATCGTAGATCCCTTCAGCATAAATTTTCACTTCACTTGAATTTGAAGATCTTTTCAGTTTAGAAATTACATTTCCCAACTGATTGAAATTGATGCTTATTTGGTAGCTGATGTTGACAGGGATGTCGTTGTAGCTGTAGCTCACAGGAGGTACAAAGCGTTCCCTGCTTGCACCATTTAAATATCCATAACGATGGTAAAACCTGTTTCCGATGGAGACAGGAGCAGCACTGCCCCATGCAACCTCCCCTTTGTATTTGACTTGCATGCCAAATCGCATGTCATAAGAAAGCGGTTTTGGATATTTGTAGGTCTTGCGATGAGCACCCTTCTTTCTCGGGCACATCTTGGTTACTTTGTCAAGTTTAGTATACTCATATTTCAAGCCTGGAGGTAGAAACCTTCCAATATAATTCTGAGGACTTTCAAATGTGATGCTTTCAAAGTAACCCAACTCTGTCGCATTTTTGTTGCTCCAAATATGGCCCACAGTGCTACTTGTCTTTCCGATCGTCCATATTGCAGGAAACCTCAAGCTCAATCTTGTTGAACAATCATCCACATGAGTACTATTAGTGATAGAATCTGTTGCATTCAAGATTCGACAAGCAACAACACATAGCTGATTGTTCTTTGCATCCCATGATGCTTCCCCAACCAATGTTGTATTGGGATAAAAGGGCCTCCGGTACCAGGGATTGCTACTGTCTCCAAATTCAACTTGAACTCTCATCCTTTTTGTGTTCTCCGAGCACTCAATAGCCTTCAACGACAAAATGTGAGGTAAATCAGAAGCAGCAACCGGAGAGCAGTTCTTTGCAGAACGGCAATGACTTGAGTATTTGAGCTCAAACTCATGTCTTCTTACTCTTGAAAGCACTGGACAAACTGTCTCTATCGGCAAAGAACTTGGGTGAATATTTCTTCCACCAGAACAACTGTTATCAGATTTATTTGACACCAAAGAGTACTCGTAATTTATACGAGGAATTATCAAAATCGAGACTGGTTCAAAATACTGTGGATTGCTCTTAGATTTCATCGGGCTCTCTAAGGTTCCACTAATCAAACTAGTAACATTAGTGGAATTCATGACATTATAAAGCTTAAGAACAGCAGAATAATAAAGCCAACGACCATGTCCCAAGTAATTAGAACTTGATCCAACCATGCAAATCTTCCCAGAAGATTCTGACCAGAATCCACTTAGTTTAAAGCTTACCGAACTTGGTCGATGACTTTTTGAGACATTTCCCACATAGTAAGACACACTGCTTCTTGGAAATAGAAGACTTCCTTCAATCATGAACAAGCCTGGTACATAAGTTTTTTGAACACTCCAGAAGTTGAACTGAATTGAATCTTCAGGCTCGTGAAAAGGCGGAAATGATGATTTTTGACCAAGAATTCCACTTCCACCAGTGTAGTAACCTGTATGGCGGTTGAGGATTTGAGAAGCTACATATGTTCTTGGTTTTGACCAGCGAACAATTGAATCACAGTGATCAGAATAAGAGCTTTGATCATAAGGTGGAGAAGGCGATGAAACTGGATAAGAGAAGTGATTAGAAGGTGGTGGATAAGGCGATGAAATGGAGGGAAAAGAAAAGGCAGCAAAAACAAAGAAGAACATGAGAAGCTTTGGCAATGAGTACCACATCTTCAAAGAGGTGGTAGCAGAAGACAGGTGTTTCTTCATGAACATTGGGAGAAAGATGAACAAGAAGAAGAACGAAAAGAAATTCAATGTGAAAGTACTGCAATGTTTCGATTGTTTTATGCACTTTCCATAGTCTATTTTCTACTGCAAGGTACGGATTATATATCAAATTCGTTGTCGTGACAATTTCGAAGAGAGGAGCTGATGACTTTGTTTTAACAGACAACCAGAACAAACCAAACCCAGGACTGTGAAATCAAAGCTACATTTTGCTTTTGTGAATACCTAAGAGGACAAAAAGGACAAAGAAGTTGAAAATTGAGGAAATGATAAATGCACGCCAAAACAAGATTCTTATGCTCCGAATAGTTTCCACCATGAAATGAAAGACGACATGGAACTAGTTTTGATGTGCAAATAGCAGCTTCCGACATCTAGGGCTTATGGGCTTAGGGCTTAGGGCTTAGGGGTTAGAACCCACATTTTGGCCTGGTGGGCTCCAACATCTACCACATGATTCTCTTAATGCTTTTCCTCAACTGGGTTCTGTGCTTTTCTCTTTCGTTTCAAGATTCGGTTGAAACAGATAAAAAAAACAATGCATGCACTCAAGCTTTTGTTCCGAGTCTTTATTGAGTTTCAGAACTTCCCTCTTTGGTTTTCTGATTATTTAACTGGATTATTTCTTACCAATTTCCTTTGAGATTTGTGCGTGTGTGTTTGTTAATGCTCTGTTTCTTCGTTTTTAGAGGAAATGGAAATGCTCTCTGCCACTTCTTGGCAACCACGTATGCCCTCTCTCTCTCAAATTCTTTCATTTGGGGTCTAAAGGTGATGCTTTTTTGCCTAAAATATCATTTTGTTTATGATGCACATTCTGCATAGTTCAAAAAGTAAAATCTCTCTCTCTGACTCTCTCTCGCTTTTTGTGGCTAAAATCATGTCTTTTGTGTCATAAATTTGTTTTTGTTAAATGGGGTTATGTTTATCTTTCGGATAATCAAAAAGTTTAAATCTTTACTAGGTTTCTTTTAATTTCTTTGAATTCTACTTTGTAGTTTTGGTTTAGAAATGTGTAGAACTACATTTAAGAGGATCATAAGGAAGAGAAGCACAGATCATTTCACTACTCTCTCTCTCTCTCTCTCTCTCTCTCCCCTCTGTTGTGTGCATTACCTAATCAGAACTATGTGTTTTCTTGCTTAATGAGGCTTTTGTTTTGAGTTTTATATATCTTAGTTTCAAACAACTCTATATGTCTTCGTTCATCTGCTTTTATTTCAATGTTTTCTCTTTTACATATGCTATCATTTTGACTTCATTTTTGGTATATTATTTTGTTTGGGTGAGAAGTTTGACGTGGTCTTCATTTGAAAGCAACAAATCCTCTTTTCCATGGTGATCAGCGCAAAGAGAATCAACATACTTGAATGTAACCTTTTGAGTTTTAGGTAATTACTGAGACAATGATCATAATCCGCCCCTTTGATTGTGCATGTTCTTATAGCATGCATATCCATATATAGCAAGCAAAGTTTCACTTTATTAGTTCTTAGGTACTAGACCGTCTTTTTAGTTACTTTCAATGGAAATTATTCATGCCTATTGTGGATAATGGTTTGAAAACCCGCAGCAAAGTGCAGGCAAATTTTCTAGTGTAACCTAAATTACAAGATCCTTGTGACAACTGAAGTATGACAATGGTAGCAACTATGGTTTAGGCCAGTTTACTACAACAATTTGCCCACCAGCCCCCTTGTGCCCAAGTTTGAATTGCGCTCTCCATATATTGGGTTCGTACAAGCGGAAATGGGAGAGGAAAATCGAACTCGGGACATTGGGTACAAGTGTGAATGCTGTTTCTGAGTTCCAAATCTTTCTGAACAGGTTAGCTGCAGAAGATGGATTTGCAGCAAGAAGGCTACCATTGTTATTACTCTTACAATTACCTCGTTAACTTCAAGCCATCCATCGATACCAAGGAACACATGTTGGCGGCTGGTGGTGTTCGTGAACAGGTATCCTGTATCCGGAAGTTAGAATTAGTACCATGAAAATGGAAGTGGAAGGCAGGAGTGGCGGACCAAGATTCTCAACTTGGGTGGTTCTTGGAGGTCGTATGAATTTATAATGAATTTTAAAAAGAAATAAGGTGACAAACATATGGTATAAAAGGTACTGAGTGAATAATACACTGTCCTCTTATTAATTAAAATGCTAAGTGACACAACCTTATTGGACAATAATTTGAAAAGAAAAAAAAGGAGTTGGTCACGCGGGAATTGGAAACCTACCCAGACCTTCAGACTTTCAGGTGGTCCCTGAACCAACCGGGCTCATAATTGGATCCGCCTCTGGACAGAAGATGTTTCTTCAGATAGAAGAGTTGTAACACCACAAAACCACATGCGAGAGCGGTGGATATCAGAACCAAGGTGATCTCCACATTCATTCTCCAAATGGATCGCCTTGGTGCAACTACGGGAATAGAATCTGAAGACAAATCCCAGCTTTCAAAATGAAGAGGATCGGAATTTTTCCGTGTACTTTTAATGCTGCCCTTGATAACACCTAACACCTACATTCTTTTAGTTTGTTGGAGGCAACTGAAAATTGACAAGAATCTCGCAATCTATGGAATCATTTGTTTGTTGCTGACTGTTTGGGCCCAGATTTCGGCAGCCAACCATGCACAGGCTTCCTTCTGTAGCATCGTAAATCCCTTCAGCATAAATTTTCACTTCATTTGAGTTCGAAGATTTTTGCAGTTTGAAATATCTTTCCCAACTGATTGAAATTGATGGTTATTTGGTAGCTGATATTGACAGGGATGCTGTGGTAGCTGTAGCTCACAGGAGGTGCAAAGTCTCCACTGCTTGCAGCCTGTAAGTACAGATAACGATAGTGGTAGAAGCTGTCCGCACCGAAGAGAGGGACAGCGGTGCCCCATGCTACTTCCCTTTTAGAATTTTTTACTTGCATGCCAAATCTCATTTCGGGAGAAAATGCTTTGAGATGTTTGTAGGTATTGCGATGAGCAGCCTTGTTTCTCGGGCATAACTTGATTAGCTTGTCAATTTTAGTATATTCATATTTCAAATCTGGATGTGGAAACCTTACCATATAATTCTGAGGGCTTTCAAAAGTGATGCTTTCAAAGTAACCCGACGCTGTCACGTTTTTGCTGCTCCAAATTTGCCCCACGATGCTACTAGTCTTTCCGATTGTCCATATTTCAGGAAATCTCAAGCTCAACCTTATTGAACAATCACCCACATGAGTACTATTACTAATAGAATTTGTTGCGTTTAAGACTCGACAAGCAACAACATATAGCTGATTGTTCTTTGCATCCCATGACCCTTCCCCAAGCAATATTCTATCGGGATAAAAAGACCTCCGATACCAGGAATTTTTACTTTGTGCATATTCCACTTCAACTTTCAACCTTTGTGTGTTCTCTGAACACTCAATAGCCTTCAACGACACAACGTGAGGCAACTCAGAAGCTGCAAATGGAGTGCAGTTCTTTGTAGAAAGGCAATGGCTTGAATATTTGAGATCAAACTCATGCCCCTTTATAGTTGAAAGTACTGAACAAAATGTGGCCAATGGAAATGAACTTGAGGGAAAATCACTTCCTGCAGAACAACTGTTATTGCATTTATTTGAAACCAAAGGGTACTCGTAATTTATACGAGGTGTCATCAAAATAGAGACTGTTCTGAAGTACCTTGGATCACTCTCAGAACTCATCGAGCTCTCTAAGGTTCCAGTAATTAAACTAGTAACACTAGTGACATTATAGAGCTTAAGAACAGCAGGATAATAAAGACAACGACCATGTCCCAAGTAATTAGAACTTGATCCAACCATGCAAATCTTCCCAGAAGATTCGGACCAGAACCCACTTAGTTTAAAGCTTACCGAACTTGGTCGACGGTGAGTTGTGACATTTCCCACATAGCAAAACGCACTGCCTCTTTGAAATCGAAGACTTCCATCAATCTTGAACAAGCCTGGTACGTAGGTTCTTTGAACACTCCAGGGGGTGAACTCAATCCAGTATTCGGACTCGTGATAAGGCTGAAATGATGAGTTTTGACTAAGAATGCCACTTCCACCAGTGTAGTAACCTGTATGGCGCTTGAGAATTCGAGAGCCTACATATCTACTTTGCATTGACTGGGGAACGATTGAATCACAATGATCAGAATAAAAGACGTGATCAGAAGGTGGGGAAGGCAACGAAACTGAATAATAGAAGTGATCAGAAGGTGGAGGAGAAGATGATGAAATAGAGGCCAAAGAAAAGGCGGCGAAAACAAAGAAGAACATGAGAAGCTTTGGCAATGCGTAACACATCTTCAAAGAGGTGTTAGCATAAGACTAGTGGTTCTTTCTGTACACTTGGGAGGAAGATGAACAAGAAGAAGACCACAGAGAAATTCAATGTAAAGTTACTGCAATGTTTCAATTGTTTTACGTGCTTAACACATCAAAGTCGCTTTGGTGACAGATTCAAAGAGAATGAGGAGTTTATGACAATTTTCAAAGACAAGAACAAACAAAACTCAAGACTGTGAAACCCAAGCTGCATTTTGTTTTTTACAAGGTTCTAAAAGTCGCTAGGCGCTAGTCGAGCGGCGGGCTGGAGCCTAGCGCCTAGGCGGCTAGGCGGGAGCCTAGGCGGACTAGGCGGATTTAAGTAAATCTATCATATTTCAGGTAAATAAGTGTCTGCTTCTATTTGAAATATATATAATTTCATCATAAACTACAAAATAGAATGCATATATATCATGAAGTATTGGAACATAATGAAAACATGTGAAATAAGGATATAATGTTTGTTCATTCAAGTATGCAACAAGTCTTTTACAATTTATTGGAAAAAAACAAAATGCAAAATGAAAGTTATGTATTTCTGTCTAAGTGAGTTGCAACCTAGGTGGGTCTAGGCGGGTGCCTAGGCGGGCTAGGCGGGTGCCTAGGTGGTCTAGGCGGTGGGCTGGGGCCTAGGCATTAATCGGGGCGGTGGGCTGGGGCCTAGCGCCTAGGCGGGGCCTAGGCGGCGCTAGGCGGGGATTTTTAGAACAGTGGTTTTTTATGAATGATAAAAGAACAAAAATATGGGGACAAAGGAAAAGGAAAATATCGGAAATGCTAATTGCGCTCCAAAACAAGCTTCTTAGTTCTTAAACTCATACTTTCACACATGAAATATTTGAATCAAACTAGTTTTAGAGTGGAAATAACAGTTTCTGATATCTATGGTTTAAAAGATTAGCGGTTTGAATCATGAAATTACACACCATACAGAATGCAACCAAAATTAGAAGCATCTATGTGCCAATTGGAGTTTGAAAAAGGAGGACGTTTGGCCAGCTGAGCAGCGTTCCCGCCTCCTTCCGAGTTCGAACCCCCATTCCAGTATATTAGACTACGTTAGGCATGTTTGATAACCATTTTGTTTTTAATTTTTAACTTTCAATTCAATTTAATGTTAGAGGTGGAGGGGAAATACACAGGAGAAGGGATATACAACGATGACGGAATGATAATAGGATAGATGTAGAAGGAACAAATAAGGGACACCAAATGGCAACAAAAAAGCCGAAAACTATTTTAAGTTGTTTTCACTTTCAAGATTTTATTTACATTCATTCATTTTTATTTATTTCCTTCTCTCACATCAAACTCTTGTTTTCTCCTTATACTTTTCTACGTTTTCTTATATTGAAAACTATAAACGAAAAATGAAGTGGTTATCAAGTGAGCCCTTAGAATATTGCTTTGTCAAAAAAGTTTAGATACCAATTATTAGGCCTAAGTGAATTGAACTTTGTAGGAAGCAATCTGAGGGGTGAGGACGTGTGCCCATGTCAATGAAACTAGAGCCGTTGGCCATGCTCGGAGGGTTCTCACGTTTCTAGTGAATTAATGATCCTGATCAGATAATAAAGTTAATGACAATTTATAAGGTTAATAACAATTTATGTTATATTCAATGTTTGTAATAAAACAAATCATAAATATATTTAAAATATTTAAATAAAAACATAACTGCTCTAACAATTCCCCACTTGTTTTTATTTAAAATATATATCAAGCAACATATCATAAAGCTATGCATAAGTAAAGGTGTTTCTCAATTTGAACCTGTACATAGTGTTCGTGATCCAGATTATACTAGAGTAACTTATAGTTTTGAACTCTATCTCTGACAACACCACACACATAACTTTATTAAAGTGAAGTTCAGAAAGCCAACACATTACGGTCATGTGCTTGTATCCCAGTATAATGAACGTTCTAGAAACTTGCCCAATATTTCATAGGAAGCGGCCTCACTTCCACATTCACATAGGTAAGACTATCAAGGATATTCCTGTAGCTAGATATCCCACTCAACATAGAGTATAGATCTTACTGAGAGAAAAAATCTCAACCTAAAAACACTTCAGGATGTCATGCTTCTTAGGGATTGGACATGGAATAATTTCCAAATTAAAATTAGCAAGACTTCACTCATATCACTTGTGACTTATTATTACACTTTGAACCTGTTTCTTGGGATCTCCAGTCTATAGATTGGGTTGCTATCACAAATGACTCAATTTTCTAAGGGCTTTAGTCTCATCCCTTTTGAGGTTTTCCAAACCTTTTCTCGTGCTAGTCCTTTCGTCAAAGGATCAGCCAAGTTTTCTTCAAACCGTATATGATCCACTCTTACAACTCATTTTGAGAGGTAATCTCTTACAGTGTTGTGCTTACGGCGTATTTGTCGTCTTTTCCCGTTATAATAACGGTTTTGCACTTTAGCTATTGCCATTGTGCTATCACAATGGATCAAAACTGCTGGAATCGGTTTCTCCCATAAAGGGGTATCTGATAGTAGGTTTCTCAACCATCCTGCTTCTTCGCTTGCCGTAGCTAGCGCTATTAATTCTGATTCCATAGTAAACTGAGCCAAGAGAGTCTGTTTCTTCGACTTCCATGACACAGCCCTGCCACCAATACTAAAAATATATCCACCAGTGGCTCTAGAGTCATCTGAAAGGGTATTCCAATCAGCGTCGCTATAACCTATTGGATAAGTAAATAATATGCCAGGTTATCATTGTACATGTGCAGAACATGTGCACATATAGAGTAGTATAAATAGTTACTTTCCTCTTGTATTTGGGAATGTCGGTGTATAACAAAAACAATTACAAAAATATATTGAGAAATTCTTCGGTTTCCTTCTTCTTTAAGCTTTCTTAGTCTACATATTTCTTGATTTCTATGAAGCACTTCCTTGTAGTTAAGATGGTATCAGAGCCGGTCTTGCTTGCGCAATGGGTCTGGTTTCTGGGTTTCGCTGCTTCGGTTGGTAATAAGGTGGTTTCTTTTTTTTTTTTCGTTCCTTCGGTTGGTGATAAGGTGATATTGTTTCACAAATTCTCAAGAATTTTGCTTAGATCTGGAGTTTTTTTTTTTTAATTGAAGGTCGATGCCATAGTTTCTGTTGAATTGACGATTTATATGCTGTGTTCATGAAAGGTCGATGCCAATTTGTTGTGAATTTTGGGTTTTCTTGCTATAAGTGAATTGATTGAAGGCCGATGCCGAGTGATGAAGTTTGTTTGTGATTCTTGAAATTGTATAGTGATTGGTTGCTCTTGATTCTGTGTTCGAAGTTAATTTTGTACATCTTTCATCTAGGTTCTTTCCACCGACTCAAATTTCATCTGGGTTTTTCTGGGTTCTTCCATTATCTTTTGGTGTTTGTTACATTTGTTGATATTACAGTGAATTTGTTCTTCCAATCATGGTTAATCAAGTGAAAATTGAAGGTTTGCTGGGTATGCTTACGATCAAACTGAATGATGATAATTTTCTTAAATGGAGTTTTCAGTTTAGCTCTGTTTTGTGTGAATATGATCTTCTTGATCATTTCACAGGTGATTCTGTATGTCTTCCCAAGTTTGTTCTCACTCCTGAATTAGGAGTTACTACTAAGGTTAATGCTGAGTATAAGGACTGGGTTAAGATGGATATGGCATTGTTAAGCTTGTTGATTGCTACCCTTAGTGATGATGCAATTGAGCATGTGGTCGGCTGTAAGACGTCTCATGAGGCCTGGATTGCCTTACATGATCGATATATGTCTATTTCTAAAGCTAGTGTCAATCATCTAAAAGTTGAACTACATACTATGTAAAAAGGGGGGGATACTATTGATAAGTATCTGCTAAGGTTGAAAGCACTAAAAGATCAATTACAGGCTGCTGGAGAGAAAGTGTCCAATAATGATCTTATTATTGCTGCACTCACAGGTCTACCTTCTGATTATGATACAATTAGAACTGTTATTTTTGCCAGAGAGTCACCCATTACTCTTAAGGAATTTCGCGCTCAATTAATCGGTGTAGAGAAGAGTATTGAAGCCAGAATGAATTCTTTGGTTCAGGGGATGTCTGCTATGTTTGTGAATTCTAATTCTTCTAATAATCATACTGGGGGATCTTCAGGTTCTTCGACTAATCCTTCACCACCTCAATTTTCTCCAAATATTGGGTATAGCTCCTCTGGTAGTTCTTCTTCTCAGCCAAGTTATCCTTCTGGTAATCAATTTCAGTCGAATAGTTTTTCAGGCTTGAATCAGAATGGCAGAATGTTTGGTATGAATACCTATAGACCTCGAGGTAATGGAGGTTATAAACCAAGGTTCAATAATTCCAGATCTGGTCCAAATTGGCAATCATGGTCGGGCAATACTTCTAACAGGTTTGATCTTGTCCCTGAGTGTCAAATATGCTCTCGCAAAGGTCATGTTGCTGTTACCTGTCTTTATAGAAATGATGGTGGACAGTCTGTACAAGAGTGTCAAATTTGTGGCAAGCGTGGTCATATTGCATTAAACTGTCGACATAGAGGCAATTATGCTTATCAAGGCGCTCAACCTCCTCATTCCTTATCTGCTAACTATGCATATCAAGGTTTTCCTGTGTCTTCTCAAGCTAATATGGGATTGGTCTCTTCTCAATCTCAGTTTTTGAATAACAATCAACCTCCTCAGTATGTGCATAACAGTCAGTCTCCTCAGTTTGTGCACTACAATCAGTCTACACAGTTTACCTCTCCCTCTATGTCATCTCCACCTGGTTTTCCAGCTATGAATGCACAATCTTCTGCTGTGATTGCAAATGGAGATTCTTGGATTCTTGATACTGGTGCTTCTCACCACATGACACCCGATTTGACAGTCCTTGCTCAATCTACACCTTATGCAGGATCCGAGAAGATAATAGTGGGCAATGGTGAAGGTTTGAAAGTTCAAAATATTGGTCATGGCACTGTGCAAACTCCTTCTCATG